TGGAAAATTTAAGGGGTAGTTATATAATAATTTTGGACGATCTCGGGCGGTCGGATACTTATGACCGCTACTGTAATCGTGAGAATAATTGTTATTAGTCTGTTGGATATTAATAATGATTTGTCAGAGGTAATAGTCGATTTATTACACAAAACTAGCAAAATTAACCGTTTTAAAAAAAAGTAAAATTGGGTGACCAATCACTAAATACAATCAAAAAAAAAAGTAAAAAAATTTTTTTTATTGTTTTGATTTATTGAATTGCGAAATAATTGAATTTATGGATGTGTTTAACATAGAAATAAAAGTTTCTGTCCTCTCAGCATTACTCATCTCTTCAACACTCCAATATCTATCATGAATCCTTTCAGTTAATTCAGTCACAGTAAGTCTCTGATTCTCAATTTTTTTTGTTGTTCTATTTGTACAAATTCTATTATTAACTCACGAACTTCATATACTTCATAACCACTTTCTTCAAATATTCTTTGAAACATTTTTCAAACATTTGTAATCAGTAATTTCACGTTGCTATATATATGTTCATGAAAAAGATGCTTGCATGGCAAAATGATTACCAAAGATTAGCATTGCACTAATAAAGTATATGCAAGAAATTATATACCGAATGATACTTAAAATAGATGCATCTAATGTTTTCTCTTTTAATTGTAATTCCTTTGCCTGTTCGATGACTTTTGATATTATACGAATAAGAACATTTCTAACCCTTTTACCATTTTTCAACCACCATTTTTCTTCTATTTAGTTCTGTAAATTTATCGAATAAAATTGCACTAAAATCGATAAAATCTTCATCATTTGAAGTCTCTTCTTCTTCATCATTTTTATCATTCTCAAGCTCGCTTTCAAACTGATGATATCTGAGAAGAAAATTCTGTAAAAATTCAAGTTAAAATTATTAAGCTCTGATCAGACCTTGTTGATCTAATCTAATATCTTGTTATTTTCTAATTCATTAGATAAATCTTATTTTTCACATACACCATCAGATATTTCGTTAGCAATACTCAGTCCCTTTTTACATGGAGAATAATATCAGTTAGAGTGTTTACAATCAATAAATCAAAAGCATTGATTAAATTTTACTAACATTTTGTTTGATAAACTGAAGATGTGTTTGGTTTAAAGCCAATTTTTCAATGCAAGTGGCCTTTAATTGAGCTGTGAGGTGAGACTCAAGATGAACTTTTTGTTTGCGTCTTTGATGTTTAACTTTTCTTTCAAAGATTTTGAGATAGCTTTCATTTTGCGCTTTCATTGAGATTCTTTACTAATCTAATGTAGAAATCAATAATATTTGATATACCTTTAGTTAAAATATGTACAGGTTCTTCAAAACTACATCAAAAATTCACACATTTTCTAGCTTATTCTGTGCAATGTTAACAATCAAAGAATCTTTGCACTTTTCCATGATGTGTCTTAGAGAGCTGACAAATTGGAAACAAGAATTCTGGCTATTGGAGAAGTACTGAAATTACCACAATTTCCACTTTGAATAGGGATTTATGTGAAAAAACTCGTGGGCTTTATTAGAAATAAAGCACCATTGAGAACATGTTGACGCGTGCATGTTATGAGTAATTCGCGACAATGACTTAATCACAATCTTTTGATTAGGTCACACTCGAATTCTGACCAATAAAATTTCGGCTTTTTAGTAGCTCACCCAATTATTTGTCATTGCGCTAGAGTTTGTTGAAAGATTTTTCTTCCCTTCATAGCATTCACTAACACCGGGGAGGAAGACCCTGTATTGTGTATGGTCTTTGCTTCGGCAACAGGTCCTTTTAAGAATGGACTGGGGCGTTCCAATACGACCCCTAACGCTTTATATCTCTCCTCCGGGTAGTCATCCACGTATTCTTAACGTGGTTGCATTAATATACTGATTTCTTTTAAAATTAAAATATATGACATTCATATGAACGCGTACTAAAAACACCGGGGAGGTAGACCCTGTACTGTGTATGGTCTTTGCTTCGGCAACAGGTCCTTTTAAGGATGGACTGGGACGTTTCATTATGACCCCTAACTCTTTATATCTCTCCTCCGGGTAGTCATCCACGTATTCTTAACGTGGTTGCATTAATATACTGATTTCTTTTAAAATTAAAATATATGACATTCATATGAACGCGTACTAAAAACACCGGGGAGGTAGACCCTGTACTGTGTATGGTCTTTGCTTCGGCAACAGGTCCTTTTAAGGATAGACTGGGGGTTTCATTACGACCCCTAACGCTTTATATCTCTCCTCCTCGTAGCCATCCACGTATACTTAACGTGATTGCACCAATACTGTACCAAATTTCCTTAAAAATTAATATCTGTCAGAAGATAAGTATATAATTGAAAAAAGAAAGATGCGGGCGAAGCTTATTACTTTTTACAGATTTATATAATGAAAAGTGAAATATATGATGCTATCATCTTAAGCGAATCCCGGCATCAATTTATTTCTTTGCTCTCACATATTTCCGATAAATTTCTACTGCTATTTGTTTCTATCACTACTATTACTAACTATATGACTCTCCCATAATTTCGATAAACAATACTCCCTCTTTCGGTCACGCTTACCATTATATTTCATTTTTGTAGCATTCCACTCTGCAAGTAATTTACTATATTAATTAATGTCATTTTATCGGAACTGGTATTTAGTTCTAAAATCGAAATGTAACTTACCTTTGGCATTTAGTAGTAACAAATTTATTAATACGATTTTTTATAATAAAATTAATTTAAATAAATAAATACCTTGAATTTTCATATAAATTTTCTGACTGTAATATATATATTAATATAATGATAATATATAAAAGAAATGTTCTATTTGGGTTAGTTTGATGTGCAGTGACGAATAGGATTACGAAGAACGTGACAAATTATGTATACTGGGAAGCGAGGTCAAATGTCTTTTGCTTTCGTTTCAGTTGTTTCATTAATTTACAGATCAAATATATATTTATATATTTATATTAAGTTAGAATGTCTTTGGTAAGAGATTTATTTATTATACCTTTAAACTTTCCTTCTAAACTGGGTTATTACCTCTATATATAACAAAAAGGTTCAAGTTATTTGTACAATAGACAATATATTAATCTTTTTTTTTTTATCTTATACTTGCAACACATCAGCCAAGAAAGGAGGAGGATGATCTATCAAAATATTTTCCATCATCTTTTGGAAAAAAGTCTAATTCTCCATCATCATCCAAATCCATTGATGCCTTTTCCCAAACAAGAAGAAAAGAACACGAGGTTTCTGGTCTTGATAATTGTTGATGATCACCTTTTTGTTACTGGTAGTCGTTACATCATAACGCAATGATCATTTTTAATTAATTTCTTTTTGCATATAATTGATTATATCGTTATAAATATAGGAAGCTGACAAGTTTATATCGTCTGAACAAGAATTACAATTACTTCAAGCTAAACGTTCAAAAATTGAAGGTATTGAACTTTCAAGCGTTGGGCGTGAAGATATTGAGAGCCAAGAGGAGGAAAATAATGAGGATGAAGGAGACGATTCGTATGATACTTTACCTATTTCACATGAAATCAAATTGAATGATCATTATAGAGTACATTATCGTTTTAGATTATCACAAGAATTATAGAAATAAATCCTTAGATGTCTAACTAAATTGAATTTTATAGACCGTTTCGGCTTTGGCGCTTGATCCTTCAGGAGCTAGACTTATAACGGGTGGCTATGATTATGATGTAAAATTTTGGGATTTCGCTGGGATGGATACTTCTTTACGTCCATTTAGAACCATAAAACCATGTGGTGATCATCAAGTAAGAACAATATTTTTGATGTATTTCATTCATCTTTGGAAAAATTCAATTTCGTTATTTATAATTTTTAGATTCACCATTTGGAATACAGTTTAAGTGGAGACCAATTTTTAATTATATCAGGGTCAGCACAAGCAAAAATTTATGACCGTGATGGGTTCGAAGTGTATGTGTTTGTTTTAATATCTTTAGTTTTATGAAGATGGTTATCATCATCATCATTATTATAATAATTACATTTTTAATTTTCTTAATCCTTAGAGAAGAGTATATCAAAGGAGATCCATACATAAGAGATATGCGGCATACAAAGTAATATGCAAATAGATTTTTTCTCATTTCAATAAATAGTTATTAACCGAATATTTCAATTAAAAGTGGTCATATAGCTGCTTTAACTTCAGGCGGTTGGCATCCAAATGATAGGCAAACATTTATAACAGCATCACATGACAGTACAATAAGGTAAAAATTAAGGATCCAAAAATCATGTAATAGTTTTAATTCTATGTTAATGAATATTTATTATATTATAGGATATGGGATGTAGATAATAAAAGAAAGCAGAAAAATGTACTTGTACATAAGTCAAAAGAGCGTGGTGGAAGGAGTGTCGTAACAGCAACATGTTATAGTCCGGATGGAAGATTTATAGCTGGAGGTATTTATATTTTCATCTGATTTATCTGATTTATCTAATTGTAATGCTTGCAATTATATTTGCTAATTATACCTTTATGTAATATTAGCTGCTCAAGATGGCAATCTATTTATATGGGATGCTAAAGGACCATATGTTCGTCCTTCTTACGTAAGTAAATATTTTTTTTAAAAAAAATTATTTTTATTCGATAATACAGTAATTATATACATGTTGCATTAATTTAGCTTATTGATAAAGCTCATCAACCTCATAGCGAGACATCATCCATTTTATGGTCTCGTAATAATTCAACTTTAGTAACAAGAGGTGGTGATGATTGTGTAAAAGGTAAATTATGATTAGAAACTGTAGAAATTTTTTAATTTAGTTACATATTAACTAAATATTTTCATATTCTGTAGTTTGGGATGTGCGAAATTTTAAAAGCCCTGTTGTGCAAGCTAATCAACTTACAACTTATAATACCGAAACCAATGTTATATTCAGTCCCGATGAGCGAATGATTATTACAGGTAATTTTTGTAACTTGACTAAAAATTTTTGTTCATATTCTTTTTCGTAAGTAACATTAATTAATAATTAACATTATTAAAGGTACCGCGGTAAAGAAAGGAGAAGGCTACGGCAAATTAGTAATTATGGATCGTGAATCATTAGATGTTGTGCGAACGATAAGTAAGAAACGTTTCAATTCTTCTTATTATCTTAGTGATTTATACACTAAAGAAAAATAAAATTGTTTCTCTTAGGTATCTCACAATCTAGTGTCGTTAGAATTTTATGGCATTCACGAATTAATCAGGTAGGATATAATTATAAATTTTTAACTGGTTTAGACATTTTTTCCAAACGTTTATTTATTATTATTTAATTATTCTAGATTATCACTGGAAGTGCGGATGGATCAGTGCATGTATTGTATGATCCTAATGTTAGCGTTCGTGGAGCCAAACTCTGTGTTGTTAAAGTACCAAAGAAGAGGGCTGTGGATGATTACGAAATAAATCGTCCAATTATTGCACCACATTCTTTAGCGTTATTTAGAGATGATAGACCAAAATCAACGAAGAGAAAGAGAGAGAAATTACGAAAAGATCCTGTTGCATCACACAGACCCGGTAAGTCATTATTTTTAAATAATATTTAATATTTAATATTTTATATTTTGAATTAAATGCTTTCATGTCCACGTTTAGACCTGCCTGTTAGCGGTCCAGGGAAAGGAGGCAAGATTGGTAGCAGTTTGACGCAACATATCATGAAAGAATTGATTAAAGATACCACTAGAGGTTTGCCATTTCTTTATTATTGCAATTCTTTTTTTTCATGTACAATCTGTTGTTTATATACCATTTATAAATTTAATTAGATGAGGATCCAAGAGAAGCTTTGTTAAAATACGCAAAAGTATCAGAAAGTAAATTGAACTTTTAATATTCTTTTATATATCTTTAATGTTTATTTTTCAATAACTAACGTATTAATAATTTTTTTTTTTTCATTAGATGATCCTCAATGGATTGGTAACGGTAAATATATTTTAAAAGGTTATTATATTATTCAAGTATTATATACTAAATAATTTTGTTATTTATAGCGTACAAGAATACCCAACCGAAACCTGTGTTGGCTGAAACTACCGGAGAAGAAGAAGAAGAAGAAGAAGTTGAAAGGAGGACGTAAATGATGTTATAAATAGTTAAATATTCAACTTATTACATTGACGGTTGCATCGTTATTATTGAAAGTACTCGGTCAACACTTTTTAAATGAAAAATTATTTTTTATTACACCATTCTCCTTTTTAGTAATTATCTATTAAATAATGTACAACCAAATACCCCCCCCCCCCCATATTACAATAATAAAAAGGAAATGAAAAAAATTACAAAGGAAATAAATTTTAAAAAAGTAAAATGAAAAAATTACAAAGGAAATAAATTTTAAAAAAGTAAAATGAAAAAATTACAAAGGAAATAAATTTTAAAAACGAATTGAGAAAAAAAAGTTATATTCTAATATAATATATATATATATGTAGAAATGCTTTTTAATTTATGAGTCATCTTCAGTTTCTTCAATTAGGGTTCCCATATTACTCGAGTTACCAAAACTTTCAATGCTAGGTTGTGAAATAATGTTATTATGATTTACATTGCCGTTACCACTATCATTTTCATTTTCATCATGATATTGTTGATAAGAAGGAGGAGGAATTTCATTTCTTCGTTTTGGGAAGGTGAAGTCATCAACAGAATTTACGGATCTTAATAAAGTGGTCGCGTTACTAAAAGCAGTACCTGTCGGAGAATAATTACCATCTTGGGAAAAATTGGCTGGAGTTGGAGGGATTTCTGATATTATCAACGTGTCTATATTTTTTTCTACTAGATCCGATGAATTCCTCTTAATATTATCTCTCTCTTTGTTATTCTCTCCCTTTTTAACACCTTGTCTTTTAAAACCACCTTCAATATTACTATCATCATTCGTATTCTTATTTCCCCCTTCAATTAAATTGTCTAAAAATTGTTCATCCTTTTCAATTTCTTGATAGATATCAACATCAGTAGGTAAGATGATACTTTTAACCAATTTAACCAATAAATTAGGTAATAAAGCTATAGAAACGGTCAACATAACAGTAACCCAATATTCCGACTTAGTGCCAACCCTTTGAAAAGTACCGTTAACATCATAAACCTCACTAGAAACCTTTGGATATAAGAACGAATAAATGGTTTGATAAGTGTACCATCCAATTAACGTTAATATTGAAGTAACATGGGTCAACCATGTCCAGTTATGACATTCCAAGTAAGCAATTTTAATTGTAACAACGAAAACTATACAACTATATACAATCATTCCTAATTCATATAATTGTGGGGAACCAAATGCTCTCAATTCTTCCCCTTCCCAATACCCATGTATAATAAACGGTATCGCTATCACGACGATAGCATTAAATATTCCAGCTCCCATCCATGAAAAGAATAATTTTAAATTAAACGCACCATCACGTTGACCTAATCGGTATAGTTCAGGCACGCCAAGCAATGTTTTCATATTTAAATCTTTTTCAAACATTCCAATAACGATCACAGGTAATGAGGAAAATAATGTGTTATAAAATGATAAAGTCCATTGTTCATATAAACTTGTTCCAGAAAATCCAGTAAATATTTGAAATAAACCTTGCGTTAGATAAAAACACATGCATTTATAAAATGTTCCTAAAACAAATTTTGATACTCTAACATATGACCATCTACCATGTACGAATAACAGATTACTTAAAAATCTAAATTGTGCTATTGAATAATCACTGGAACGTGCTGCTTGTAATCCCTCGCGTCCCGTTATTCCAATCCCAACATGTGCTTCTTGTATCATAGCGATGTCGTTTGCCCCATCTCCGATCGCTAATGTCACGTGATTCGTCAATTTACCCCTTATGTTTCTGACTACGAGCGCTTTTTGTGATGGGCTCACTCTACAACATATTACAGCCTCACATAATATTCCCAAGTCGACGAATATTTCCATGATATCCGGATTTTGTTCAATCTTCATGAGCGTTGATCCATCCACGACCGCGACTGGATGTGTAGCTTTGCCATTCTTTACATCTTTTAATGCCCTTTTCATCATCAATTTCAGATCTTCAACATTTGAATCGATAATAATCGTCGTTGAATAATCTTTAATTAATGAACATGAATATCCGATATTGATGGCGGTCTCCCTTTTATCTCCTGTCAACATCCAAACCCTTATACCAGCTCTACGTAAGTTATCAATTGTTTCTGGTACTCCATCTTGTAATTTATCTTCAATCGCCGTTGCTCCTGTGATTTCTAGATCACGCTCAATCAATTCCGCTACGTCTTCCAATTTTTGTTGTCTATCAACAAGTGAAGTTGACGCTTCTTGATACAATTTATTCCACATTGTATATTCTTCTTCTTCCATAAATCTATGACCGTAAAGTAATGTACGAAGTCCTTCAGTTGCAAAATCTTGAATATGATACATTGTTTGACTATACAACCATGTATCATCACGCATTGGAAACAAATCAGCCATTGAACGATCCGAATCTACGGTCCTTATGCTGAAACTACGTTCATGTGCGTTCTTTATGGAAATTGGTGATGTATGAGATTCATTTGCTGTTGAAGGTGTAACTGGCGTATTTGGATTTGATGATAGAAGTGATGACCCAGATTGATCGCTTGAATTTTCGTTAACAATGTTTGTAATATCGACTCGAAGTTTATGTGATGGTCTTTTTTCGGATTGATTTTCTTTATTGTCTTCATCGATCTTCCCCTTCTTATCAAGGGCTCCCTTACCTTTTCGTGACCTCTTAACAGGATTTCTTAACCTTTCTAGTATAATTGAATCAGCCCCCTTACAAAGTAAACATATTCGTCCATCGGGTAAACGATACACTATAGACATCCTTTTTCGTTTACTTGAAAATTCAATAACATTTAAAATCTTGAATGTGTCATACGTCGCCGTAGAATCGTTAGGGGCTTTTAATCCATCAGGTCCATCATTATTAACCCTTAAAGAGACCAAAGACATTGAACGATCCGTCACAATATATCCCAGCTCCTTCGCTGCGGTAACGAGTGCAAATTCGTCAGGTGATGCGGCTTGATAAAACACGTCTTGCGTCGATTCATCTATTTCAGGAACACAGGTATGACATAATGCAATTGCCAATAAAAAAAATCTCGCTTTCTCACAAAATGGCGTATTATTTTGATGCTGTAAGATTGTTAATAAATCCAAAGTTGATTTTATCTGTTGACCTGTTTTTTTAACGGATTTCATAGAAGCTCCCGAATATGAATCACGCTTGTATAGTGGAGATGGTCCGGTTGAATTTGGTGCTATCATTGAAAATTTTCCGCTTCGCGTTGAATCATTACGCTTAAGTTGTTGTTCGAATTCATCCCCATCGTTTGATTCATCACGTGATTGGGAACGATTATTCCATCTTATTGAAGTGACGGAAAATCTTTTACGTCTTTGATTCGTAGCACTTCTTCGAGATTGTTTCATCATTTTTAATAATTCTTCTTCTTCAATTCTCCTTAAATCTAAATCATGTATGAATGCTCTCCCACCAACACTTATTTTTCTAAATAACATGATGTTATCTGTTAAAGTACCAGTTTTATCCGAGAACAAATAACTAACTTGACCCAACTCTTCATTTATTGTAGACGTTCTTGCCTCAGCAGGTGTATCAGTTTCCTGATGATACATTTCTAAATCATTATTAATAAAGTAAGCTTGAGCCAACTTAACAATCTCCATAGTCACATAAAGTGAAATCGGAATCATTGTATTAAATAGGATGATGAAACCTGCTAAAACATTTTGGACTTTATTAAACCCTTTTAGGTAAATTTCATCGAATTCATGATTTTTAGCCCATAATACTGACATTATTGTACTTGTCGTTGCTAAGAAGATTACAAAACAAAAAATAATGATAACAATTTTATTCATCAATTTTTGTATACTTGGAGCTTTTGTGCGAATATTTTTTGATGCATTCATGCGTAGTTTTGTCTCTTCTCCTGTAAATATGACTAATCCATAAATTTCCGGTGTATTACGAAGAATTGTTCCACGTAATAGGATTTGATTATTTGAGAGTGAATATGTTTTTCCATCTGATAATGTAATTGATCCATCAAAATTATACAAATCCTGATTTGGATTTTCTGTATTCACAGTTGCTACAAGAGAAAAAAAAACACGTTAAGACTGTCCTTTTTTTTTTTTTAGGTAATATAATTATATATACAATTATGTATTGAAGTACACATTTATTTACCTTGAAAAGCGGCGAGGGCTTCAAGAGAAGATGTGACAGAATTTGTTTCTTTTAAAGCCTGACGCTGTTTTAAATTGGTTTCGCCGTCTAAAGCAGCGGTTTCAATATAACAAGTACCCTCTTCACCATTAGAATGAAGTAAAAGTAAATCTGCGGGTATCCACTCTTGAGCTTTAACAGAAACTATATCACCAACTTTCAAGTTTCTCCACTTAGTTTTTCTCCAAACACCAAGACGTTGAGTAGTAGAATCATTTGATTTATAAACATTTAATGAATTACATTCATTATTATTTTCTACTTGATCTTGTTTATGTCTACGATAATCATCAAAACCTTCATGAGCTATCGCGATCGACATAAATACACTAAGAGGTATTATAGTAGTATAACGTCCTGTAGGAGAAAATTCAGGTACGGATTGTAATGCCGCCACAAATAAAAAATAAATATTTGCTATTTTTGAAAATTGATACATAATTTGTTTTGGTAAAAAGTTATAAATTTTATAACGTGAAGTCGTGATAGAGTTATTAATGAATGGTTTCTTGGTTTGTGGATCTATTAAAAGGTCTTGATTAATCGGATTAACGGGTATTTCACGTCCAGCATTGTCTTGATTACATCCGCCTGGTATCAAAACGCTTAACCTCTTTACAGATTGACTTAAATGATGGCTAATTGATCTATAATGCGATGAATTATCCAATGTATTACAACGTGAGGTAGTGTTATTATTTGTATGTGAGGATGTATCCTGAATTGAATCTGGCCATGTAGATGATCTTGGTGGCATCGAGGCGATCACGTCTTGGCGTATTTCTTGTAATGAAAAATCTTTTTGTTGCCCCTGTGGAAGTTGAGTCGTTAATTCATCATCGTGTTGTGAAGAAGAAATATCTGTGCGGTCATTGTTTGGTGGTGACATGTTTAAATATAATTTTACAAAAAAGGAATAAAGTTTTCAAAAATAAAAAAAATTTCTATGCACAAGAAAAAATATTGCGTGCAGGGGAAAACAAAGAGAGAAAACAGAGAAAAATTAATTAAAAAAGTTTTATGTGTTATATGTAAAAGTATATTTAAATAGGAAAAAAATATATTATTAAATTTCCCCCTCAATAAAAAAAGAAAATTTTCAAAATTTTCTTTTATAGTAAACTATATACAATGAAGTCATATATCCCTTGGCATATAACGTTGGTGATACAAAGTTTTTTTTTTGAGTTTAGGCAAAAAGAAAGGGAGAATTAGTAAAGCCGCGGATGATGCGATTTTTTTTTTTTTAAGGGAAAATTTTTTTTCTATTTATAATTTGATTAAACAAAATGTAAATTAAAACTAAGAAATTAGGAAAAAAGAAATTTTAAAAGGACAATATTCACACATGGAAAATTCTTTTTAGAACCACCTTTTTTTTCTATGGTAGTTTTTTTTTTTTTGTTTTTTTTTTTAGAAAAAAAAATAAAAATTATGTAAGACAGAGAATGTTATAATAAATTTTTCTGCGGAAAATAAAAAAATACCTAAAACAAAAAAATACGCAGAAAATTAAAGAGAAGGAAAAAAAAAAAAAAAAGAAAGAATTTCTTTTAAAAAGAGAGAGATTTTTGTTTTCATTTCGTTTTAAAATTAAATGAATGATCTAAAAATAATTATGATCATTTCCACAAAAAGCTAGCTTCACTGTAAATAATAAAAACAGATAACTAGGCTTATTATAGTTTATACTCTTCCAAATGTTGTGCCTTCATTCAACTTAATATTGTGATCACATTTAAAACGTTTCGTGTAATTAGCTAGTGTGGTTTTTTTCATTACTGCGCCTTCAATGCTTATAAATCATTTTGTCAACTTTTTTTACCAATCTCTTTCTCATTTCTCGTTTTCATCACCAACTATAGTAATTCCAAATTACATATGATATGACACAACGTAAACAGGTTTGTTAAAAATCCTCATATGGTTTGTTTGTCGATTTTATAAATAAACGCCCCTAGATTATTCTTGTTTCTAATCTATTTATTTCCTTTTTACAACTTTTTTTTTTTTAAAGCAAAAATAGTTTTTTTTTTTTATTTATAATTTAATATTCAAGGTCCTTTTTAAGCAAGTGAGGTTAAATGTAAAAAAAAATTTTATATAATAAATAAATTTTTTATTTATTTATATAAAAAAATAAAAAAATAAACAAATATAAGAATTATAACAGAAGACATTTAAAAAACTTGTCAATTTGCAGTATTAGATACTGTAACTCTAATGCAGGAATCAATTAATATACATATATAACGAATGACACACCACAACGAAATTAAGAATGTTACACGGTTCATTAGCGAATTAAACCCAGAGAAAAAAAACATCAAATTACTCTCTGACAAAATTTGGTAATTACGATTTCATAAATGATTTTAGTAAATAAATGTTTATTTAATAAATCTTTACATATATCCCATTGAAATCGTACTTGGAAACAATGCATTATTATTTAAATTTTTATTCGATGTTTTCAATACCGATTTAGTGAATATATATAAAACTTGACCTAAATCAAAAATATATAAAAAAAATAAATTCTTCTAAGATAAAGAATATTGTTTAACTTTAATAAACTAACTATAATATGAATATGTATCCTGGGTGATTGGGGATAAGCGTAGAATTCCATAATGATCAGCTAACGGCTGATCATTTTTGATTTTATCAAAAAATAAGCTATTTATCCCCTAACCCAGGGTATAACTGTTTATCCCCCGTCATTTACGTGATTATGCAAATGATTTATGCCATGTCGTAATTCCTCCGTGTTCCTCTCGTGGTTCTCAGGGAAATATTAGACCAGTGAAAGCTCAACAGGGACAATGTATAAGTGAATTTATCCCCAACCACCCAGGATATAAACTAATACATATGAATTTTGATCGCCAGTAGGTATAAGTTATTTTGCATAATCACGTAAATGATGTCATTCAGGGGATAAAATTTAATTATCTAATTATTCAAATTAATTTATGAAATATTAGGTTGGTATCGGGGGATATGCATATCCTACCCTATTTATCACATAGTGTCACACCCCCACTTTTCATTTTTACTATTTTATTCCAGGAACTTAGAAATTTTTATTTATTCGTCACCATTAAATATCACGTCCACGTGGATTTAGGGGGATATTTATATCCCCCGGTATCTAAAAATTAAATTTAAAAAATTATTAACTTATTAATTTGATTTAATTCTAAGCAAAATTTAATTTTTAATTAAAATTAAAACTTTTGAAATTCTAATTATTATTTAAACTTTAATTTCACAAGTTTTTTAATAAGATTATAAAACAATTTACTATTTTTATAAATTTTGATATTAATTTATATTTTAACAAATTTAATAAACTTTTTTTTTATTAAAATCTTAATATAATTTATTTTTTTATTATTTAAATGATTTAATAATATTTTATATTTTATTTAATGAATTTACAATAGTAATCATAAATATCTGACTACCTATCACAGCTCAAAAAAAGAAAAATCAGGTAAGATTTATAACCTAATATTGATATTAACTAATACTAATTTTATTCTAAATTAGATTTAATATGCATATACAAATCTTAACTGATTCTTAATGCAGATTGGAGACCTTTAGTGTAAATTCCAGTTAAGTCATACTAGATGAATTAATATGAATATTAGTAAGCAAATCAAAATATTAATATTTTCTGATATGTAATATCCTATCAATATTAATATTTATTTTTTTGATATTTCTAGTATATTTAACAATAGATATATAATATGATTTTGATATTTATATGAAATTTATATTGTTTACAATTAAGCATTAATTTAATATTAAATAAATATTAATAAATAAAAAATTTTCTGAATTCTGATAATATAAATGGTTAAATACTATAGTGTAATATCTCAGAAATATAGGATCTTTACAATAGAAAAGGGGAAATAACTGGAAAAAATAAAAGTTGAGTTAATGTTAAATCTGAACATATTTTGACCTAAAAATCATATTTGGCATATAAATATAAAATTGATTTTTTTTAGTCATTTCCCCTTTTTATTGCAAAGGTCTTATATAATATAAATTTCAATTATATAATACAAATTAATTGCTCACTTATTAATAAATATAGATCTTTGAATACAACTATTTATCCAAAATAATATGAATTTAAAATAGTCTATTCTAATATATTATAAAGTAATTTAAAATTATTTTCTATATATTATTAATCATCATATAATTTTTTTCTTGTAACCTTTATAATCTAAATACTATTTTTTATTGAATTAACATGTCACAAAAGTTTTTAAACCTATAATAAATTTTAATTAATAAAATGTAAAGAAAAAGTAGATTAATTAAGAAAAACTTTAATTTACATATTTAACTTACTCTATTAGACTTCTATTACTTATTATACATATGAAATATATAGTTTTTTGTAATAGATGAATATTTTTATCCTTTTCTTCTTGTACTTTCTCTGTATCTGATTCAGAGACTTCATTTGAATAATAATCTAAATCGCTAATAACCTTTTATAAATCTTTAATCTAATTATCCCATGATATCAGAGGTTATAAATCTATAAATATCTGATCTTTTATTTTTATCATATGATGAAATACTTTTTGATATTTTTCTTTCTTCTTATAAATAAGTAGTATTATTGCAAATATAATTAAAATATAAATTTTATATCAATTAAAACTAATACTTATATTTTTTTTTCTGGTGTTTATACCAGTTCTCTATTTATTTGTCTTCAATTTTAAAAGATTCATTAAAACAATATGTATATCTCTTTAATAATAATAAAGATTCTGTAAAACTTATTTTATTTCTATATTGATATACTAAAATTCAGGATTAAGTGCTTTCTTTATAGCCAAAATGGTATTTTATATCATATTCTCTTTAATGTCTGTCTAACAATTTTTATAATTTATTGCTAAAGAGCTATCTAAGCTTTTTAATATTTGTACAATATTATTCTATAATCTTTTAATATAACTTTATAATTAGTTGATGAATTAAAATAAAAATATTAATACATCTAAGATGTAATACTTCAAATATTAGTATTACTTTTATATAAGCTATATTGTAAAAATAAAGTAAATTAGTTTAATATTTAAAATTTTTTCTTTATTATCATAAAAAAAATTAACCAAACTTATTCTATAATATGTTCTAAAATCTACTTGTATTAAACGAAAAAATATAAACATTCTTATCTTTAATATGTGAATTTTTCTATAATTACTTATCAAATAGTTGTAATAGTCTATAACATAAACAAAAAATCAGAAACTATTATAAAATATTCTAAATATTTAAATATCCTCTTTCTTTCTAATTTAAATTTTCTGTTATTCATTATTAACATAAAAATAATATTTAATATATATCACTTAAATAAGATTTTTTTTTTTTAAAGTTAAGTTTAGGTTCTAATACAACATCTAATATATTATTATTAAATTTCTTCTTACATTTTTTTGTAAATAAACATTCTTTTTAATTATTTTTTTCTATATTTTATTATTTCTAGCCTTTCATATTTATCATAATAAATACTTTTCTTTTTTTCATCATATCTATATCCTATAAATATATATAATTTTGATATATCTTCTTAAAAATAGTATTTTTTTTAATATTTTCTGTTAATTTAGAAATAATATTTCTTTAATATATATCATTAAATTTTAGTAAAAATATATTCTTAATATCTACTATTATAATTATATTTGATATCCTTTAATAAAATCTTTATTATTTAATAGATTTTCAATTTTCATATATATTAATTGACTTAGGAAGTGTTAATTTTTCATTCAAATGTTGATTTAAAGCATGAAGACAATTATTAACTGAGAAAGCATAATACTCAGTTTC